GCAGTTCCACTCTGTCCTCTAGGGGCGCTGTGGGTCAGGATCAAGTGGATGGCACTGTGTTATGGTCATTCAAAGGCTATCCACAGCGGAATGTGCCTTGTTGTATGATCCCAGTGTACTGGCTTTACTGCACGCCGCCCGACCCCATGCCGTTGAACCAGGTGTGTGTGTGTGTGTGTGTGTGTGAAAGTTCGCACATCCATGTGTGAACCAGGTGTAGTGTCTCCTGTTGGGGCGACTGTAGCAGCCCCAGCGCATCACACTGGGTTTGGGTTATTTGCTACGCAGGGCGGCTTCACCGTAAAACTGCTGCTGCTGCTTGTTTGTTTCAAAAGTTCTCGTTTATGGGCAGTAATGTGAGCCCGCCCAGGAATGGCCGCTTCTCTCTTTTATCATCATCAATCTCGCGCAGGGAGGGAAGGCCTGATGGTGTCTGGTGAGCGCAGTGTGAATACATGGTCACACTCTGCACGGGAGCGCGCACCGTGCAGATAAATGGAGACATTAAGGTCGGACAGCGGACCAGGCGGGGTCCTGATTCATGTTCCGGCCCCTGCGGATGAAGGGTCCAACCCCGTTCACAGGCTCGCGGGAATCGGGTGTGTGAAGCCCTGTTCGCCCTCAGTGTTGCTAATGAATATGAAAATCCACATTTCTGTTGATAAACATTTTCTTTAAATGCCATCGAGGAGGACAGATTGTTAAATGTAAGTGCTTTATAAACAGGCGCGGGGGCTGGGAGGCTCCGGGCCGGGCCGAGCGCCATCTGCCGGACTACCTACACTCCCGCGGCCGTCGCTGACGGTTTTCTATTTCACTTTTATGTCCAACCACATGGCACGCAATTTGAGGGCAGAAAATTAGCCCAGTTACAGAGTAATGATCACAGTAGATACAGCCTCCCTGTTGACTTAAATTGCGTACTGACGCTATTTCGGGAAAGCGTTTCTGTTGGTCTAGTGTAATGTATTGAAGTATTCTGCCTGGAGAATTTGAAGGCTAGGAAAAATACTTTGTCTCTTTTCCATACCTTTTATTGACACACACAAGAATGAGGTGTAGTGTACAGTCTAAACTGTTCGGGTGTAAACTTATTTTTAGTCATCGGAAGCGGTGAAGTCTCATTAATCTTTCCCTCCGTGTGGGCGTTCATGAAACACGGTCTAGTTCAGGGCGCTCCCAGGGCCCCTTCCCCGGGAGGCGGTGGTTGTCAGGTGCTGCGAGTCAGTGCCGACTCCTAACGGCCCTGTGCACCACAGAAGGAAACTGCCTGCTCCGGAGTCGTTGTTGTTGTGATGTGCCGTGGAACCGGCCCCTCCTTGGGTTTCCGAGGTGGTATCACTACGGAAGTAGGTTGCCCAACCTTCCTTCTGAGGA